GCCACTGCCTACTAATCCATACCCAGTAATTGTACTAGCCCCCAAGGCTAGTAGTGGTACTAGCTCAAGGCCAGTAGTGGCACTAGTTAACTAGTACCACTACTGGCCTTCGGGGTCGGGGGCACTGGTCGACGGAATTCCGTCAACCAGTGCCCCCGACTCTCGACCGCCACCCGCAAGTAAACAGACTGAGTAGCGCTGCAGCACATTTATTCGGGCACGAGAACGAGAACGAGAACAATAACAACGCCAGGAAAATAACTATAACTTTAACAACAACAACAACAACAACAACAACAACAACAATTAACTGAATAATTTGCAATCAGGTTTCTTAAATAACCACAATCAAACATTTGTGATTTTTCATTAGCACTGCACCGGCGGCAGTCGCGGGGTGAAGGTAGGCCGGGACATATGTACATGGCCCCATTCTTTACTGCAGAGAAGTCTGTAATGGGTGAAAAAAAAAACAATATTAACATTATTATTATCATAAGGCATACCAATCTGGAAAATGATTAAATTAAAGTTGAATAAAGTGATATATTCCTGCCACAAGCTAACGTAAGTCCCAATCATATAGCTATTCTGACTTGGATAGACGATACCGGCGCACTTCTGCCAACGACGGGCAACATTATGCGATACTATACATCTTCTATGAAGCTCAACAACATAAAAACTTTTGTTTACAAATGGACAAACTTTTTGTTGAGCACACAGCAAATGATACAAGATGCCTCACCTTCAATCAAGCCAAAGAGCAGTTGGGCAGACACACACAGTAATGGCGACGCAACACAAAATGGACGCCGGCCCCCGGATGCGGGGGGGGGGACTCCTTCTGAAAGCAGCCACAGACTCCTAGGTTGTAACATGCGACGAGGATAGCTATGAGGCACATCCTCATAGCCATCCGAAGCCGCTTACCACGCAAGCTTACCAGCACGTTTACCAGCTGCAGGCGTTCGTGACAACAAGCGGGGTTGCACGCAAGGTTATCCGTTTAGTAGGTGCCAGCCGGGGCCTCGTCAGCTGAGCTAATAGCAAAATGACCTAATTGAGGGACACGCCAAAAACTGACCGAGAACAAGCCCACGGCGGGTAACACTGTGAGGCTGTGCGTAGTTCATTAACATTGCGCAAAATTAGGTTCCTGAACATGCTCTCGCTCGTAGGCATTTGTTCCACAAAGGGCATTGTTAACGTGCATGGCTCTGACTACTAATGTCCATATATGTTGTAACGAGGTGCAAGGGAGGCACTCGTAAAAAATGCCTAATTTCAAAATTAGCTAGTGAATTTTTTTTTACAGTGTGCGTGCAACACTGTAAAAAATATTCACTAGCTAATTTTGAAATTAGGCATTTTTTACGAGTGCCTCCCTTGCTCCTCGTTACAACATATATGGACATTAGTAGTCAGAGCCATGCACGTTAACAATGCCGCTTGTGGAACAAATGCCTACGAGCGAGAACATGTTCAGGAACCTAATTTTGCGCAGTGTTAATGAACTACGCACAGCCTCACAGTGTTACCCGCCGTTGGCTTGTTCTCGGCCAGTTTTTAGCGTGTCCCTCAATTAGGTCATTTCGCTATTAGCTCAGCTGACGAGGCCCCGGCTGGCACCTACTAAACGGATAACCTTGCGTGCAACCCCGCTTGTTGTCACGAACGCCTGCAGCTGGTAAACGTGCTGGCAAGCTTGCGTGGTAAGCGGCTTCGGATGGCTATGAGGATGTGCCTCATAGCTATCCTCGTCGCATGTTACAACCTAGGAGTCTGTGGCTGCTTTCAGAAGGAGTCCCCCCCCCCCCGCTTCCGGGAGCCGGCGTCCATTTTGTGTTGCGTCGCCATTGCTGTGTGTGTCTGCCCAACTGCTCTTTGGCTTGATTGAAGGTGAGGCATCTTGTATCATTTGCTGTGTGCTCAACAAAAAGGTTGTCCATTTGTAAACAAAAGTTATTATGTTGTTGAGCTTCTTAGAAGATGTATAGTATCGCATAATGTTGCCCGTCGTTGGCAGAAGTGCGCCGGTATCGTCTATCCAAGTCAGAATAGCTATATGTTTGGGACTTAAGCTAGCTTGTGGCAGGAATCTATCACTTTATTCAACTTTAATTTAATCATTTTCCAGATTGGTATGCCTTATGATAATAATAATGTTAATATTCGTTTTTTCACCCATTACAGACTTCTCTGGTGAAGAATGGGGCCATGTATGTCCTGGCCTACCTGCACCCCGCGACTGCCGCCGGTGCAGAGCTAATGAAAAAATCACAAATGTTTGATGGTGGTTATTTAAGAAACCTTATTGAAAATTATTCAGTTAGTTGTTGTTGTTGTTGTTGTTGTTGTTGTTGTTGTTGTTGTTGTTGTTGTTGTTGTTAAAGTTATAGTTATTGTCCTGGCGTTGTTATTGTTCTCGTTCTCGTTCTCGTGCCCGAATAAATGTGCTGCAGCGCTACTCAGTCTGTTTACTTGCGGGTGGCGGTCGAGAGTCGGGGGCACTGGTCGACGGAATTCCGTCGACGGAATTCCGTCGACCGTGCCTCGACCCCGAAGACCAGTAGTGGTACTAGTTAAATAGTGCCACTACTGGTCTTCGGGGTCGAGGCACGGTCGACGGAATTCCGTCGACGGAATGCTAGTACCATTACTAGCCTTGGGGGCTAGTACCATTACTGGGTATGGATTAGTAGGCAGTGGCTAGTTACCTTACCAGGCAGGGGCTGTTATGACACCTAGTAGACGCACTACCCACGCTATTTACGTGCGTGTTGTCAAACTCGGTGGAGCACGGTGGTCGTATGCATACGAGGCACAGCCTTGTCGAACAAGCTTGTTACTCGGCAACTAGCCTAAAATTAGCCAAATTTACACGCTCCTGCAATGTTATTTTTGCGCTGAGAATTCCTCTACGAGGGGCTTGTAAGTTTTTTTTTACAGTGAACTCTGGATTAGAGGCGTCGCAACCGGTCACTTCTAGAACTATCCATGATAGAGGTCAGAAAAACTATTCCTCAAATTATTATATTTTAAAGATATACCTAATTCATAATATAGATTGGAGCTTGCCATTGATTACGATGACATCTTTCTTTCCATCTACACTGTAAAAAAAACTTACAAGCCCCTCGTAGAGGAATTCTCAGCGCAAAAATAACATTGCAGGAGCGTGTAAATTTGGCTAATTTTAGGCTAGTTGCCGAGTAACAAGCTTGTTCGACAAGGCTGTGCCTCGTATGCATACGACCACCGTGCTCCACCTAGTTTGACAACACGCACGTAAATAGCGTGGGTAGTGCGTCTACTAGGTGTCATAACAGCCCCTGCCTGGTAAGGTAACCAGCCACTGCCTACTAATCCATACCCAGTAATGGTACTAGCCCCCAAGGCTAGTAATGGTACTAGCATTCCGTCGACGGAATTCCGTCGACGGAATTCCGTCGACCAGTGCCCCCGACTCTCGACCGCCACCCGCAAGTAAACAGACTGAGTAGCGCTGCAGCACATTTATTCGGGCACGAGAACGAGAACGAGAACAATAACAACGCCAGGACAATAACTATAACTTTAACAACAACAACAACAACAACAACAACAACAACAACAACAACAACTAACTGAATAATTTTCAATAAGGTTTCTTAAATAACCACCATCAAACATTTGTGATTTTTTCATTAGCTCTGCACCGGCGGCAGTCGCGGGGTGCAGGTAGGCCAGGACATACATGGCCCCATTCTTCACCAGAGAAGTCTGTAATGGGTGAAAAAACGAATATTAACATTATTATTATCATAAGGCATAGGTACCAATCTGGAAAATGATTAAATTAAAGTTGAATAAAGTGATAGATTCCTGCCACAAGCTAGCTTACCTAAGTCCCAAACATATAGCTATTCTGACTTGGATAGACGATACCGGCGCACTTCTGCCAACGACGGGCAACATTATGCGATACTATACATCTTCTAAGAAGCTCAACAACATAATAACTTTTGTTTACAAATGGACAACCTTTTTGTTGAGCACACAGCAAATGATGCAAGATGCCTCACCTTCAATCAAGCCAAAGAGCAGTTGGGCAGACACACACAGCAATGGCGACGCAACACAAAATGGACGCCGGCTCCCGGAAGCGGGGGGGGGGGGGACTCCTTCTGAAAGCAGCCACAGACTCCTAGGTTGTAACATGCGACGAGGATAGCTATGAGGCACATCCTCATAGCCATCCGAAGCCGCTTACCACGCAAGCTTGCCAGCACGTTTACCAGCTGCAGGCGTTCGTGACAACAAGCGGGGTTGCACGCAAGGTTATCCGTTTAGTAGGTGCCAGCCGGGGCCTCGTCAGCTGAGCTAATAGCGAAATGACCTAATTGAGGGACACGCTAAAAACTGGCCGAGAACAAGCCAACGGCGGGTAACACTGTGAGGCTGTGCGTAGTTCATTAACACTGCGCAAAATTAGGTTCCTGAACATGTTCTCGCTCGTAGGCATTTGTTCCACAAGCGGCATTGTTAACGTGCATGGCTCTGACTACTAATGTCCATATATGTTGTAACGAGGAGCAAGGGAGGCACTCGTAAAAAATGCCTAATTTCAAAATTAGCTAGTGAATATTTTTTACAGTGTACATTTAAATATTCGTTTGTGTGATTATCCATAATCCAGCCTTCTCACTCGAGCTCTTATCTTCCTTCTCTAGCGGTCTTTCACCCCTTGGCTCTGCTTCCAATGAACTAACAGTGCGGATGCACTCCCCTCCCCCTCCGCACCCTGCCCTGAGGGGGGAGATGAAAGGGTGACCGCACGCGCCACGCGCCGCCGGAGATCGGCGCCCGCGGTGAGGTGATTGACACAGCGATGCACCGCACGGGCCACACCTCCCTTCCCTCTACCCGCCCCTCCCCACGCACTGCGATCCGGTCCGCGCTGCGACGGCAGCTGGGCAGAAGCGGTGCCCTTTGTGACAGAGTCCGTTTCTCTCCAGTCTGCAGCTGGAGCGCTGACGTCACTGGGCGGCGACCAATCAGCGGCCGGCGAGCAGCGAGTCGGCGGCAGCGGTGGAGGCGCTGCAGTATCGTGACGGACGACCGAGCGGAGGCAGCTGGTAGCTCCGAGACGACCCAGGGCTTCTGCTCGCGCACGTGACTGCCGTCTGAGGTCTCTGACGTGAGTCTGTGCCAGTGAAGAAGTTGTGGTAGCAGTCGGTGCTGACAGAAATCTATCACCATGTCGATGATGGCTGCCAACCGGGTGCGACGCGGCAGGAAGCGCGCCGACAGCCTGATCACCGTGGAGGCACACGGCGAGGGTCTGCTCTGTTTCGCCGCCGACGGCTCCTGGTTCCAGGGCCAGCTCGAGGCCGTCGATGAGCGCGACTTCGACCTGGTGGGCCGACGGGTGGCCGACGAGCCGATCCGGATCCCCACCTGCGCCTCCGAGGACGTGGAGCAGGCCATCCTGCTGGAGTCGGGAGAGTGCGGCAGCGACGACTCTGGCCGGCCGGAGAGCCCTCCTCTGACGGAGGCTGAGCGCTCGCCGGAGCTGCAGCGCGCCCACCTGCTGCGGCGCGGCTCGTCGGCCAGCAGCCCCGGCTCCAAGTGTTCGCCCACGGCCTTCGAGTCGGCGATGCGCGCACTGGCGGCGGTGGCGCCCGGCACGCCCGTCACCTACGACGTCAACATCCGCGACCGTGAGGAGGGCTCCGAGCACCGGGTACGCTTCGTGCCGGGCTTCAGCGCCGGCTCTTCGTGCCACCTGGACAGCAAGGAGCTGCAGTTCACCGCCGAGAAGCGCTACCGCGGACAGAAGGCCGACATGGTCATCCAGAAGCGACTCGGCAGGGCGCTGGTCGGCCAGGGCTGTGTCGTCTTCACCGGCCAGATGCGCGTCGAGTACCAGTTCGACTACATGTCCACACCCAAGTGGGTGCTGTAGGTGCCCGCGTCGGCGACTGGCGGCTCTGGCTGAGTCGCTGCCGTTCTTCAGGTAGACGCGCGGCGGACGGCAGAGTCAGCGGGTGGCCAGGTGCCTTCAGGTGAGCTCCGCGACCTCCGGCGCGCGCGTGCGCCGCCGATGATCTCACGTTGTGGGGCGAGCTCCAGTGTTCTTCTCTTTAAGGACGCGTTTGTACGGCTCCGTGACGCCAGCTGTGCACAATGTAACTGTGATGGATAACCAAGTTGTGGGGAGTTCAGAGACGCAGCGCAGAAGATAAAGCGTTCTTTTTTCTTGTCCTGTCGTAGTGTTAAGCGCAAGGCCGAATGTCAATCAGTGTGGCAGAGATACATGTCAACGATGATTTCGTTCACCACGCGTGAATGAATGTCTCGCAGAGTGGGTATATATCGCCAGTCCTGTTGTGTTTTCTATGATCGCGGTTGTCGCGTTATGATAAGCGTTTTGTCAATATGGTACGGTGTGTAGTAGGTACTGCTCTTTGCAGTACGAGTCGTATGTGATTTGCGCATACGGGTGTGCTAAATGTTTGTGTAATGAAATAGAATACATCTTTTCAGGCAGATAGGTATGTTTTCGTGAGGAGAATTGTACGCCATCGTAATGAACCGAGTGGTAGGGTGAAAACCGATGGCTCATGTAGACGGATGCCGCTAGAAGGCCAAGGGCGAGGGTCATGGAAAACATTTTCTGACACAAACATTGTCGATCAGTCACAAATGTCACTGAGGAACGGATAATGAAATAGGCGCTATCCACTTAAAGGAAATAGTTCACTTTCACGAAATTATTTTTTTTTGCAACGATTTATTATTTTTTATGTTCAAAATAATCAGCAAAGAAAATAAGACCTTTTTATAACAAAAGATTTTTTTTCTATATTTTGATATAGGAAGAACTTTTCAGTTTCTGTAAGGCACACGCGATCCAGTATGAAAAGAGCATGGGTCCCGAAAATTCTTCAGAAACAGAGAAATTATCGCAGCCACCGGCATTTGGGCGATCTGCTCGATCTGATAATGTTCCCCTGAATGTCCTAATTGATCAGTACTAGAATTTCTCTAGAGTTCTCGTAGATAATTTCTTTAGTTTCTGAAGAATTTTCGGGACCCATGCTCTTTTCATACTGGATGGAAATATATGCAAGGCACACATCCTCAACGCAAGACACCTTTTTCGGGACGAGAAATAGAATATCTTTGCCTAGGGTGATCGTTGGGCTGTAAAAGCTCTTGATTTATGCTCGTCTCAGCCCAAGCTACGGAACTGCTATTCCAGTTCAAAACCCATGTTAAAAAGTGAACTATTTCCTTTAAGACGGTACTTTGGCCACATCTTCATTTTTAGATTCAGAAGTTTAATGCAAGATATCATGCACTTTGAACGTTTAAATATCAGCACCTATCAATCTCTGATATCTGTCCCATTATTGTCCGTTTCGCTGCCAATGGGCGCACAGCAAGAGTCACAGAAGTAGGTGGGGGTCACTCCCCTTGTGAGCTCTGCACTCTGCAGTGATTCAGCATCTTTGTGTGCCGCCTGCTACCCTGGCCTGCCGTCTGCTACACCGGGGCCGCAGAGGACGTCGTGGCGGGGACCCTCTCGGTCAGCCGGGACACTGAACGGGTGAGGTGCCAGCCAGCCGGCCCACATCTGTCTGCCTCTCACCCGCTGACCCTAATGATACCCACTGACAGGGCAAAGCGGAACAAAAACACTGGTCAAGGACACGTCTTCTGTCCTGTCCGCTCCGACAGGGTCGAGCGGTATTGATCCGACACAGGTGCACGAATCGCGTCATCTTTACCGACGACCCAGGCTCATATTTCTTGGTAGCAACATGAGGAAGTCGATCGACCCGGTATCCTGGAACAGGGTTAGCTTGCAGCCCTCATAAATACGCATGCAGGACCTGTTACGTTCCTTCGTTTCTTGAGCGTTAAGAATAAATGAATAAGCAATGCCGAATTACTGAACAGAGGAATATGACACCGCCAGTTTTTCTCCTTTTCTCTCTCTCTCTCTCTCTCTCTCTCTCTCTCTCTCTCTCTCTCTCTCTCTCTCTCTCTCTCTCTCTCTCTCTCTCTCTCTCTCTCTCTCTCTCCCTCTCTTCTGCTTCTCTCTCTCTCTCTCTCTCTCTCTCTCTCTCTCTCTCTCTCTCTCTCTCTCTCTCTCTCTCTCTCTCTCTCTCTCTCTCTCTCTCTATCTATCTCTCCCTCTCACTTCTGCTTCTCTGTCTCTTTGTTTCTCTCTCTCCCTCTGTTTCCATTATCTGTCCCCTCCCTCAGGCCTCAGTCCCCGCCCCTATATTCCCTCCCCTCCGTTCGGCTCAGGCCTTTGACCTCCCGCGGCCGCCGCCAATCGATCGGTGGCGGCCTTCCAGAGAGCGGTGCGCCTCCTAACTCTCACGGCCAACCGCAGTCGACACGTGCCCGTGAGGCACGTGTCTGACACAGCCGGAACACACCCGGTAACGTGCCGAACGAGGGTCATGTGCCACTCCGCCCCCTCCCGCTCCTTCGCACCCGGGCGGAGACGGGATAAAAACAGAACAGTTGCCAGTGGACGGTTTGGGAAGCGGACGCTGACAGGAACACGATGGCGTCAGCATTACGTGTGTGACAGTTTTTGGGATCGGCTGGAAAACAAGGACAGCGTCACCGTCTCGTGAGTCAGTCCTTTCATAACGGAGTTTGCGATTCTGAGATGAAATCGTGCTGTCACTATAAACGGCAATGACTTCTCAAGTAATATTTATGAGAAAATAACGAGCAATGGAAAACTTGCCAGCCTGCGCCATAGCAGTGGTCCGATCGTGCCGGGTAAAACTGACATTTTAGTAGAAAATGTTTTCTGCGAAACTTTTAAAACAAATCTTGTACGAGTTCAAATTTTACCAGCAGGGCAATCCCTCATCGAGAAGCGAAGAATACATTTTAGTTTAGAAAGAAGAGGTCACTTGGGAAATTTGACCGAGGGTCGAAATCATAACGTGATAGGAGAATGGCATGAGCAATCGGTCGATCCTGTAAGCGTACGTGGCAACCATTCACTTCTCAGGAGAGGTCAACTGAGGTGACCTGATGACCTGACCTTTCATGAGCTGGAGCTGAAATTTTCGTAGGTATGTGCCGGCTAAGCGGAGCGGAAGCATGGCCGCTTGAAAAATATGAATCGGAGCCACAAGATATGTATATCTTCCGCTCGGATCCATGAAGAACTTTCTATGTCCCGAGGTTTCTAGTAAGTTAATTGAGCGTCCTGCTCAGAAACGCATCTCGTTATTTCGATCAATGCAAGAGGATTACGCCTTTGAAATAAATATTTTCGAGACAACGAAAAGTTCATAATATGCATAAAAAAGTAATCGCATACTGGGTGGGCTGCATCACGAGTCAAATACGCATTTCCTTGCAAACGTCCGTGGATCGCGGGCATCGCGGGCAGTCCGCGGCGCGGTGCGACATGACCTATTCTGGAGTGGTGCGCTGCGCGGTATTGGCGGTGCATCTGCGCCTTATCTGCGCGGAATGGGGCCGCTCCTCTGCTAGTTTGGAATTTGGAGGGTGAATGACGTCACGACACCGCCCCGACCGCGCCACACAGGCGGTGATGTGACGGGTCGGAGAACCGCGGTGACGGGAGCGAGGGCCGAGCCCGCTCCGCCTACCCTTTCTGCGGCAGGGGCTCCCCAGGGTGAGGGACCGGCTGACGCAACAGGTTGAGGCGGGGCGGGTGGACTGTGCACCAAGAGAAGGTGGAAGAGGCCAGCGGTGGAGAGAAAATGAGAACGAGGGCTGACGCCGCGCCCATCTTCGACTTCACCGAATAGTTTCGGTTTACAGTTAGGTCAGGGTCGTGGTCTGCAGACTGACAGCAAATGTGAGCGGAAGGAAATGTCAGTCGGACGCGACAGCGAATGCTGCATGCACACTGCACAGCTGACTACAGCTGATAGCTTTCACTGATTGCTACCCAGTACCTACGCTAGAAGTGTGCAAAGGCAGGCCATGATGCCAGATGGAAATGCATGCATCATGCAACTGCACAGTCTATGTCTGAAAATGGAAGGCAACGCTGCATGTGCAATGACATGAATAAATTCGCCCATCTACCGAAATTTCATCGTGGACGTAGGTACCCAAACGGTAAACACACTTCTCCTTCATTACCTTCAACCAGTTCAACTTACGCTATCCATCTCACTCACAACACAGGCCAAAATTTAGTTTTCATGTAGGCCAACTTCTGATCTTCGAATGATAATATGATCGCGCCTTTCGATGATATACCTACCGTTTTAACTCCTACCTACCTACGCTCTAGCCCATAAGCCTGACACTCGTATGCTCCGAATCATCATTAACATTAGGCCAGTGACATATTCGAAATATCATTGAAAGTAGGACGGCGGCGAGTGCACGGCTGCACGCCGCTGTTTGCAGTTCACAGACTGAGTTTGACAGTCGCTGGCCTCAATCAGCTCTCGATCAGAAGCTGGTGATCTGACGGTGGCCAGTCGCCGAAATCAATATAAACAGTGGGGGTCTGCTATGGAACGAACACATGTCTGCTGGAACAGATTCGCCCAGGACCCCTTCTCATGTCTAGACAGAATGCTTCTGAACCAGGGACTCGTGTGAAGGTATCTGAAGAGAAGGAGTTGGTTTATTCACCTACCACGCCATGCGAGGTCAGAATGCGAGCGTAGGACATGAAACGCATGTGAAATGTGTATGTAAGAAAGGCATAAGCATGAGAAACATGCGTTTCTTATGCTCATGAGAAACGCATGCTCGTTATCATGGGCACGTATTGCTAGGGCTTTTAAATTAATTTTAGAATACTGAAAACCATTCTCACTGCACAGCGCCATCATGTTGAAATAAAGAATTAAGTTGGGGCTCCAGCTCCACCTGGCTTTTATGAAAATACAATACACCCATGATTCAAACAAATCTAAAAAAACATAAGTGGGCGGCACCTATAGCTGGACCGGGGAGCACTCTGCGTTACTCATTACGACTGTAACGCTATCCCCCAAACGCACCACCCTGTCCCCCCCCAAAATAGGTAGCATTGCATCACCATGTTCAACCAACCCTCGGCGGCCCTTGAGCTGGAAACTGATGCAACAGAGCTGCCCGCCCGACGTCCTGAGGGACGGGCCGTCGTGACTGAGCAGGCCGACTGGGAGGGCTGCCGACCGGACTCTTGATCAGATGACGGCAGCGGGCGCCGGCACTTATGTAACGACCCCTCATGGGAGGCGTATGCAGTCAGCTGACCGCCCTCCAGCAGCAGGGCGCCCAGTGACAGTCCCAGAACAAGCACATGGGTGCCGTTTGGGAATGTATATTTGGCTGGTGCGAGATTTTGGGACGTTCGGAATGAAATGAATGCTCCATATAAATATTCATATGTTCATTTGTTTATAAATTAGCAAAAATTACCAACAGGGATAAGCTCCATTGGCAGGTGAAATGTTTTAACCATCCATGGCTAGACGCGACCGAAGCAACAATGATTGGCAGGATACGTATGTGGAAACAGCCAGGCCGTCAGCCGTCACCAAAAACATTGCAAATACGCGGTCTGGTCATGATCACAATTCGGAAACGTACGCGGTGTGCCAATACCGTCAACACATGCCAGCCAAATGCGTCAATTCGCGATCAATCAGCTGATCTGTCGTAATTCGCGGCTAGGCCATGCGCATCACTCGTCAAAATTTCGCGGTATTTGGCGGCGCAATATTTTGGATACGTCGCCACACCACGTCGCAACAGGAGAAACCTGGAGAAACCCAACGTTCACGAATCTCCGTGTAGCTCCTTCCGCGCATTACTTCTTCGCTCAACCGCCAATATCCGGATTCCGGATTAAGTATGACCTCAACTACAGGCCGCCCCACACCGGAACTCGCATGCGGGTTGCGAGTTTTTGGGTTTTTGGGTTTCCTCAAAATCAAATAATGCGAACTAAGCTGAGTGACCCACACTACCATCGAACAAGCGAGTCTGCATGTTATTAGCTTGCGAGCCACCTTGCATCGCATTCCAAAAGTTAATTTTGAGTCAACTTTCGATTTTCCTCGCTGCGAGGTCTGCGAGTTCTGCGAGCTTTGCGGGTTTTTCGTTGAAGTCGAATTTAGGTTCGTTGCGCTGGGTTTGCGACTATATGTAATTTTATGAAGGTGTACCGGCTTCACTGCATTAATAAAGTTACCATAAGGGAGCGGTCTAATCACTCTATGAATTAGTATTATGCCCGTAAGCTCAAAACCCGCAAACTCGCAATCCGCATGCGAGGTCCGGTGTGGGGCGGCCATTAGAATGAAGTAAGGCGGTCGGGATTGCTCTGTTACTGGACAAATTAGTAATGAAATTTCCCGTACTGCCCGGAAAAAAGCGTCGTTAATATGTTGCCTCAGGTACATACCACTGCAAATACCCATGGAAGTCCATAGAAGCTCTGGATTTCAGGTTATTACCAGCCTACAATCTTCATGCATTTTGCGATATCCTCAGGAAAACCCACTGGCAGTGGCTCTGTCTTACATGACGAGACAACGCCCGATACACATTCAGACCAATAGTCCCCAAATAATACAACCGGACCGGACGCGAAAAAAACGCACATAAATCGCGTGTGAGTTGTGCTGCGAGATAAGCCATGGACGTGGGCCTTGGGGTGCCTGAAAACCTGAGCGACTCTGCGACAAACAACGAAAGACGCTCTACTTAGTCCCAGCCTGTACCGCATGACCCTATCAGGACCACATGCCCCCGGCAGCGTTTATGCTGATAGAGGTCCCAAATCTGTTATCCATGTCCTTGGTCAGAAGCGACGCAGGACAGCACCAGGCCAAGGTCCCGTGACGCACGCACGTACGATACCACAGACACCGGCAGTCGGCACTCGTGCTTATGCGTTGCAGACATCAACAGTCAAATAGTTCTGTCTTGTGATGAATTGATATGTGATGTTTGTGATAAGTTGTGAGCCAAGTCGGCAAAAATAATACAAGCTTATAACTTTGCGGCAACCGTTACCACAGTCGCGACTGCGCTTAGCTCTTTAAAAAACAAATTCATTATGCATTATATTAGTACATTTTTGGCATAACAAAAGCAAACAAGTTTGTAAAAACAAGCAGATCCCAACCAGATGACTGAGCAGGGACACCCTGTGGCGTTATCACGGGCCGTACAAAGGAGAGCGCCGCGGCGGAGGTAGTGATAATGCTGCCACCTGTAGCACGAATTCGGAACTAACGTCAGAGCGCAACACAACCATCTGCAGAGTTCCTGAGCAGCCACTATGTCTGAGCTTCGCTCCGGCCTGCGGTTTTACGCCATACCCAAGGGAAACTGGCACGCAAGACTCCCTGTGCTGCACTTCCACGAGTGGAAAAACTTTGCGGCTGGGCCCGCGGAAGGCGACAGGCTGGTTTGCGTCCCATGCCTACCCCAAACAGGCCAAAACCTTGTTCCTCATAACACAGCAAGCCCCTGTCGTCCCGTGAGCCCCCAGCCCTGACCCCGACCGACCCGTTCAAGGTTAACTCACGGCGCCAGACTGATCCTGCATGACCAGGTCAATGCCTCCCCCCCCCCCCAGTCAACACTGCAAGGCAGATCTGTGACCAGTGACCGGCGTTACTGACGGGCGGAGTCACAGTGAGACAGAGGCAGAGAGCTAGGGCATCACAGTGAGACACTGCCGGAGGGCGGTACCGTCAACCAGGTCTTCTCTGTCGGCCCTTCGGCAGCCCGCGGACTGACCTGGAGCGCTGCCCTGGCTCGTCAGGTCAGGTGAGATCAGGTCAGGTCAGCGTCCGACCTTCCCTAGCCGTGTGTCGGTGCGCGGGTCGGCGATCAGGTTTTGTACGGCTACCAAAATTTCGTTGATGGCCGTCTGTAGCTGCCGGAGGTCTCGGATGTAGAGCAGTCGCAGCACCTTGGCCGCTCGGTTCAGCACCGGGTCGCCCGTGTCGAACCCGAGGTCGGCATCGTCCAGCGGGAACGCCGTGCCCTGACAGACGAGAGAGAATACCACTCAGCATGATTACACAAAACACAGCAGCCACCGGGCGAATACGGTCCAAATTTGCAGCAATTGGCAGTAGACGGGGATATCATATGCGTACTCCAGGCTGCACGTAGAGCTAATTTGTAACACCATAAAATTATTTTCATATCTTCAATTAAATGAATAAAACATAAAACAGTTGTAAATAACGACTCCTCTTCAAGGCACGCGTTCCGATGTGATCAGCGGACATTAAAGACAATCATACTGGCATCGGGCAGCGGTAAGTAATACCTGTGACCGGTCGTGACGGCGCAGTCCTCACCTTGACGACGATCTGGCTGGGGTCGGCCAGTGCCTGGCTGTTGAGCCGCTCACTGACCAGGCTGCAGACCGCCTCCAGAGTCACCAGGTGGTCCGGGTGGCTGGGCACGTCCAGGATCGACGCCAGGCGCTCCACGCCCGACACAAAGTCGGCGCTGTTGACTGCCGGGCGAGAGATGATGGCCGATCAGAGATAGACGGTGAACACCGAACAGCAAATGCAGTAGCGTCAAAACTTGCTTAAATGTGTAATTTCAACCAGCATCCAACTGAAACGAGCTGTCATGGTGCTGTCACGAAAAAGGGCAATACATTATTCGAGGAATGGAAGCGGCAGCACAGACGCTGGAAAGCAGTTTCAGCGCCACCTGGTGGCAGACAGCTGAACTAAAGCTTGATTTGGGCTGCCGATTCAATATGCGGCTGAGAACGCTACTCTAAAATACATCTTTGTTAAAATGTCAGATAAATAGCGCATAATGACATCAGTAATAATTCAGAAAGGTCTTTAATGACAGCAGTTGATCAGACATTGGTACCAGTTTTCACAGTCGCCGTCGTCAATCCATTTAGACAATACTGACAGTCGAATGCGAGCGTGACGATCACTGTAACCCACGACCAGCAGACGTTGTGCAAGTTCCGTCCTCCGAGCACTCCACTGCATAAATGACAGAAACGATAGAAACTCGCCTATAATGCACTGGTTTGCCACATGTGTACTCACAATCTAGGTTGTCTAGCGGGTTTTGTGACGGCACTTTGGGAGCGTTCGCCCGTTCAGCGGTCCCGTTGCTCTGAACAGACTGGTACTTCTTCAAGTTATCTCCATAACTCTGTGGATAGAAAATGAACACTCATTTAAAACCAGGACGATCACACAAGTTTGAGGGGCCTGCAACGAGCTGTGGTGTGCTTCCAAATGACACGACATAGTCCGTCCCGAGACCGGGCCGGTCGTTAACGACGGTAAAACGGCATCGGTCCCGGCCGAGCCGATTCCTCCAATGCACGTCAGTGCCGCAGAAAACGCACAGCCTCATACTAAAACCAGCCATGTAATTGAACATTTTACTATGGACTAGCATGACCTCCCAAACTCTCCATTGCAGCACGATATCTACATAGGCCCACTCGGGGCACCTGCCGTCCCAGCTCACCAGTCGGACGGCGCGCCCGAGCAGCCAGTCGAGGGCGCCCGGAGCGTCCTCTCCGGACACGGGCGCCGCCAGCTGCTGCAGGTACTGCTGGTAGGCGGCCGGCCACTGGTCCGAGTCGAGCTGCCGCAGCGGGCCGCGCGCCTCGGCCGTCAGGTGGCGAATCTTCTGCTCCTCGAGCCAGAGAGCCACCGAACGCAGCTGGGCCTGGTCTGAGAGTGGAGATAGCGGACATCATCACAGACTGTGACAGGAAGCAGCATAGACACTAGACATCAAGCTGGTACATGCTGGGCTGGGCTCTTGGATGGTCTCTTTCTGCTGAACAAGCATTTTAGACCCCAATGGGTCTGATGGATGAGGCTCTCATTTATATACTATTCTGTGATGGCAAGGGTATATTCCAAAGATAAATGAAATGAGATTTTGAACGTAAAGGTTGTCATGAGCTGATGACCAATTATAGGAGATACAGATAGCGAATCTTTAAGCTTGGTGTTATCACCTACAGTTGTGCTATATGTACAAATTCAAATCACAATTAAAAATAGGTTAACATCAGGCTAGTCTTTTGAAAATTAAGTAGATGATAAACATTTATTCCCAGACACAGAGCCATGCTAGATGAATACCTACTGACAAAAAATGTTTGTCAATTTTCATACAACCTGCAATTATGGATATATTTGCTATTGTGAACAATGCCCAAGCCCAGCTCAAAACTTAGAAAAACAAATCATGCAACATACGAATGTGAATATCCTCATCATCAACACTTCATTCATTAAGCATTTTGAAAGCAGTCAAGTACATACAACAGTGCTTTCTTACCAGTATGGTCAAAGTCATCCGCTTCAGGGTACTGCAAAGCCTTCAGCTTCCTTCGGAACATGGCAATAAATGTCTGAAAAAGAATTTCATAAAACACTCTGAGTTGAGAGTAGAGTCAATGATACTGCTACTGGTGAAAGGCCTAGATGAGATTCATAACATTATATATTAAAGCATTTCTAAGTCGTGCGGGCATGTCAAATCAAAATGTGGAAGTCTAAAATTTGAATTGAAATGAAAATTTGCAATGCACACACTGAACACCTTGGGGCTTGGCCTAAAAGAGAATAGGATCAGAATTCAGAGCATTTGGCCATAAAGCCTCAGCCGTCGAGTTGCCCCTGCCTGAATAAACAAGCAATATGACCGCTTACCTACCGTAAAATATTTATAGAATCAGAAATTTGAAAGGTTTTGTAACACTTTTTCACTTTTTGCATTATAGAGTTCAGTGACTTTTTGTGATCCACTGAACTTTCCCCGCGTTCGATGTCTCTCGGACGACGAAGATTCTACGCCGTCCGGCCAATCACGTTCCATAACTGCAGCCGAGCCCCCGCTGACCTTGGACGTGATTGGCCGGACGACGTAGAATCTTCATCGTCCGAGAGACATCGAACGCGGGGTTTGTGATCCCATCCCATATGCAACAACAGCGCCGAATTCACTACCAAATCGGAAGCCGGCTAATATTTTTTCCATCCGAGCAAAACTACATATATCACTGAGGATCGTATTTCTGCCATTTTCACTTCCATTATTGATATCTATAACTTCGACTCAACATTCAGCAATTCGTCAATAATCATTTATCTAAGGGCCTGGTTAAGCTCAACTTGAAATTATTAATACCTACCTATTTGCGATCGGTAATGTCAGTCAACAAAGAAAAGTTTTTGGTAGGTAAGGTAGGTATAACAATTTTGCTTTCGTTGCTTTTATTGAACCGCATCTAGGACCCTCTGAATACAAATTGTTTATTTCGCACCACAGCCCATCCGTAGATGCGTGCCATCACCAATATATTTTCGTTATTATTACTCCTATAGGGCAATGACCGGCGGCGGCCGTCGACCGGGCGTTGGGTAAAGCTCCCGTGTCCATGGCACCAGCAATAATGGCGACCGGCATCGACCTGTAGCCACTCTTTGAGCTGGCCTTCAAGGAAGGTCCGCTGGCGTCATTGAGTGGGCGGCGGCCGGTCGATGGCGATGTTGACTGCTGTCGCACTATCACAGATAGCCACCGAGTGAAAAGCACCGTCACTGTACCGAAGGTGACGTCCGGCCCTCCAGGTAGGTATTAAGTGGTTGGTTGCCAACATCACAATAATCGATCTGCATTGATGAATGCGTCTAATGACCGTTCAAAACTATTGGCGAAGTGTGTGCACGAACCCTCTTCTTCTTCTCATTTCTATTGAGTTATTTTACAGGAGTGTCTCTGTAATTCAAAGTTATTAGGTACACCAAAAGTACATACATGGGCTAACCAACCACTCTTTTGCTGGAGGGCCGTCCATCGTCCACGGCATCCCCAGCACGACCCGCGCCAATTGTTACGGGGTCATTGACAAGGTCAGTATGATTCCTTGAGCTTCTTATGCCTATCGATAGGCGATAGCCTCAAGCAGCTCACGGCTTCAGCAAATATGTCGCCGTCGGGCGTCGGCGCTGTGCACTCTGTGCGTTTTATTAAAAAAAGTTTACATTCGAAATCGAAACTCTCACGGGAGTTAGCAGAGCACAATGCAGATTTGCCCGTTCGCTCTTCGTGACTCATTTCTTGCCATAAGATCGATTAGCGTTGCGATGACTCTTATTTGAGAAATGAAAAGTGGTATGGGTCTAGGTAAGGTCACGAAAAAAACATCATTTGTCCAATGTAAAAATTACGTTCTGACCATAGCACTAGTTAATTAAAGTCGCACTGTGGCGTGGAAGGAGCAATTTCATTGTCCTGTCTTTAGCAACTTCGACGATTTTTATAGTTGTACTGTAATTGTTCATTGTTCATAATTTTATAAACGTTTTGAATGCGTATGCCTCGCACTCACCCTTTCACCAGGGCTAAACTGGCAGCTCTAGCTTCGGTCGATCGACATTGAGGGGACGGGGACGGGTAACTGTATGTAAGCGTACCGACTACCGGTGCCGCTGTTGCTGCTGTTTACGGGATTGGTCAGTCGACGGGGTCGAACGCGGAGCGGTGCCGAAGTTCCTGAGCTGGTGCCGTTTCAAGAGAGGCTACATTGCAGCTCCTGTTTAACAAGTAAGTAGATCATTCCAGTAGACCTACTATGCGTTTCAGACCCTGTGGAACAGTCCTTTTCGGCTATTTCCCGTTGTATATACGTTTGATTTTAACCAAACTTTGGCATTGGTAGTTTGAGTTCCCTACCTAATTTTTATCAATATGGTCTATTAACAAAAAATGAAAAGTAAAGGCACTTGTCATTGACTGATAATGTTAAGCTCGTCAGATCCCTGCTTAGAGGCTGTCACAGGCTGGGCGCTGTCTCCCCTCTGATTGGTCGTGACACACTAGCACACTGCGGCTTGACTCCGCCCACTTGCAGTCCAGCCTCGGGTCATGTCGGCGGCAGTCGCAGTCGCCGCGCGCGCGGCGCAGAGAAGTCGGAGCACTTGCTTGCATGTCATGAACTTTTAATAAGTTGTTCTACGCAAATAAGGACGGAGGAAGAAAGAGAAAGGAAGAGGAGACAAAGTGACAGTGAGACGAGCGCCCGGTAAACGTTGGCTAGTGGACAACAAACAATATGCATAAACGCTAGAGCAGAGACAGGAGACAAAGACGGTAGACGAAAGACAGACTTAAAGATGGTAGACCAGAGACAAGTGACGAAGATAGATATTAGGCTATAGACGAGAGACAATAGACTATAAACCTATAGACGAGAGACTGACAAGGGGGAGTGAAGGATGGGAGATCATTAACTCTCGATATTGCATATCTACATTTTCAGATTGAGTCAATCTATATCGTTCCCTGTTTTATTGTTTTTTCGGGCCTAAGATCTATCAACAATATTCTTAAAGTATTTTGGAAATGTCATGGAAAGATTTACCTATTATTTTCACCCAAAAAATCATCCAACTTTATTCTTTTAAACTAAAAAAAAAAAAACGAAATACCTACCAATACCTACATATGTGGATATCCTCAATTAAATAAGGCCGTTGAATGCAAGACAGTCCGATAAATTCTGTCCCGTTACTCTTTAAATGCACAATAGCCTGCGGAAGACGGCTGCGGTGAGGCTCGCCATAAATTATTGAAAAAAATTTATTTAAAGTCTGTAGGGAATAACATTATGTAGCTAGAAGGAGTGCTTATCGTTTTATACATACGCCGATCTGCATTGCATTCTTCATCCTTATTCTCTCCGCGCGACCGCCCGCGAGATACGACATATATTCACGCAAGGATATGTGTGTGTGTCTCGTTCCAGTCCGTCAGAGCTCCGCACCGCTCTGACCCCGAGCGGCGAATGACCGGTCCCGGTGTCGCGGCGCAGTGGGCGGAGCTTAGCTGCGGCGCAACAGCTGACGCTGCTACGCCGTGCTAGCCTCTACCACGGCACAAAGTTTTCCGATCAATTTTTACCATTACAAGTCAATGACAAGTGCCTTTCATTTTGACATTTTGTTAAAAGACCATTTTAGTAAAAATTAGGTAGGCCCTTGAAACTCATTGTGTCAAAGTTTGGTTGCAATTAAGCGCATAGGTAACGAGAAAAAGCCAAAAAGGACTGTTCCAGAGCGTCTGAAATGCGTAGTAGGTCATTCGACATTGCCTTATCCATAATGCTTTATCAAACCTTCAACCCCTCACCTATCCGTGATTCTATCCTCAGGATACAGAAATCCTTCTCCTCCACGCCGCAACCCCCTTCCGGGCTGGACAGGCAACTTTATCTCATGCGGGCTGCTCCCTTGGAGCGGCACCGCTGCTCCCGAGGGAGCGCACCCCGTAGCCGGGTGCAGTGAGTGCCTTGGGGCTGGGTGGCCTGTCCTCTGGACGGGCTCAGCCCCGGCGACTCACTAAGGTGCCTGCCCAGACCAATGTCTCCCCCTACTTCCTATCATCCTTCCGGCTCTGCAATGGTCTTGTCGACCGAAAGGGCCTAACCCAACAAAACAAAAAACAAACAAAACTTCAACCCCTACAGGTTTGATAAAGTAGACGGTCATTTCAAGCTAGAAATTTGATAGTCGTCCAACCTTTAAATAACTATGCATCAACTAAGTAATTAGTAAATTACGTACCTTTAGGTGTTTTCCAAGCAGTAACCCTCATGTTCCAAACTCTAAACATTAGTCCTGGCCGTACCCATCGGTTTTCTACATAGCAGACGACGGGGTGGGGATGGGGTGGGGGGTGGGGGGGGGAGGGAAGGAACATGGAGGTGGAAACGGTGCCTTCTCGCCGCTTCGTCCATGATTGAGCCCTTATTCCCCCGAAACAGAATGTGTGGGTCGTTATTACAAGACGCGGTGACTGGTAAGGTGACCAATTTCAATGTTCCAGGTAAACCGGTAAGCTCTGAGGTCAGGTCAGACTCAAAGGCACTTCTAATGATATATATATATATATATATATATATATATATATATATATATATATATATATATATATATATATATATATATATATATATATATATATATATATATATATATATATATATATATATATATATATATATATATATATATATATATATATATTTTGGAAACGGCCATCTTAGGGCTTACTGTCTCGCCACAGCCCAACGTCAGTTTAAAACCGCTCAGATCACGAAATTGGATCAACGAGATCATACTTGTATTAAATTGTATTTGACTCGCGAAGTATTTACGGGCGTGCGATCCTATTGACTTTTATGTATGTACCCATTAGTAATAGTGAGGTTGACTGACCTAATCGTGACCTTTATGGGAAATCCTAGATAAACTTTTACAGCTTGTGACTTGTTACTCATGTGAGACCTCAGGGGGCTACTAAAAATTAATTTCCCTTTTCTTAAATCCCTGGAAAGGCACTGGGGGTAGGGAGGAGTGAGGAGTGAGTGACGTTGCGAAGTTGTGACATTTTAGGACGGTGCAATGACTCATTTATGACGTTATAGGCTAGTGCCTGACCTGACATTGTGGCTGATACCCGACTTCAATAAAAGATCAGGTACCACAGCTTTCAGCTGTCTATTGCCAACGTGTTTTAAGCAACCACGAAAAAAGTCTGAGGCGGCACCAACCCCCTTCGGCCGGGAAAGGTTACCGGTTAAGCTCTGTCGCTTGTCTCTTCGAAGCTCAAATCATGGAAGCAACAATAAACCCGAAAGGCAGACAAATCGTGTTGTTACAGGGGAGACCCGGGAGGCATGGGCCCCCGGGAGGTATGCAGGCCATCGCAGTTTTGAAGAAGTGTTGCGTTTTTTTTACACATTTGACCGCGTAAACTGGTAGCAGCCATTTCGTTATACAACACACGTGATTTCCAAAATCATCCTCAGTCTTCTTTGGCAATGAGCGGTGATAATGCGTTTTTTTTTGTCCTCTTCGAGTAAAATACGGTAGGTAGGTACATACAGAAAATTCGTGATAGATTTGAACCAGGCTCGTTTTATTTTGTCATGCCATCGTTAACATAAAATTTGAAGCATGCAAAGTAAGACTGGATAGACAATTTGAGGCTTTCTTGCAAGATTATGAGCTAGACTCATAGCATTCTGGCGTCCTAACCGGGAGGTTCGGGCCACCCACCCCCGGTGATACTAAATCAATGAAATGATGCTTTCATTGAATGTCCTCTTCAATAAGTTTTATTTTTGTCGCACAAGGTCGAAAATTTAAGTACAAATTGCATTCGAACAGAAATATATTATTTGTCTTATTTCATGGAACATGATTAGAGTTTACCAAAATACATATGTGCCCAAGTGACCTCCGGAAGTAAGCTGTTGTCCGCTATATGCGGTACCTGGGACCTAAGTAGAGATTGCAATCCCGGGATGGGGATCCCGGGATCCCGTGGGGATTTTAATCCCGATCCCGATCCCGAAATTTCGCCAACCCCGGGATCCCGAAAAAATCGTGTTTTCACCAAAAAGAAAGAAAGAAAAGAAAGACGAATGCAGCTGCTGCACGAGTCTTGTTCAAACTGTTCATAATACCTACTACGTTACAGAAAGCAGAGAAACTTTTTAGCTGGCACCCCGTCTCGGCCGCCCACAATCGACCGTGCTGGTAGCTAACGGGGATCACCCACAGCGGTTGGGCCGCTTAAATACGTACGAAAAAGGACCCCCGAAAGCCAAAAATTGCAGCATCAGTGCTGCAGCATCTTTAACAGGATCACGGACCGTTCAGCGATTCTACTTGTTCGTCCGTTGCCGGAACAAAAGAGGTCATCAAGACAGTGTTTGAGCTCGTGTCGCAGAAAGATGTCACAGATGTCGCGCAAGTGACGGCTGAGCTCACTGATTCAGACGTCGAAGACGGCGAGTGGAGCCCTCCCAGTCACTAGTCAGTGACTCTGCCCTGAAAGCGACTTTGGAGCAAAGTCTGAGAGAAATTAGTGATAAAAGCGGAACCGGAAGTAGGTGAATTGACCAAGCGACGTCTTGAAAAACGTTGTGAACTACGTATCTGACAACTATAGTAGACGCAAAGTGAGTGAGACGTAGATGTTTCGGAACCCGTCACAATGACGAGACAGTAAGCGCACTGGTCGACGCACAGCTATTGTAAAGGCCAATAAGGAATCAATGCTAGTCAAATTGAAACGCTTTCTTCACAAATCCAATCGTTGTTTTATATAAAGGACATGGTCTAAGGATGGCCTTTGGTTGCCTCTTTGTTAGTGGTAAGTTAAACACGCAAAATATGTCAGTAGAAATAAGAAAGAAAGAAATAAGAAAGAAAGAAAGAAAAGTAATAAACAAAATCATTCTTACGACCTTTTGTGACTAGACCGGGATCCCGGGATCCCGAAATAAAAGCTTTCAGGATCCCGGGATTGGCAAAACGTTCCGGAATTGCAATCTCTAGCTCTAAGAGAGCTCAAGACCTAGAGCCCAGCTACAAATATTATCTCAATGTCGAGAAAAAAATATGAAACATGCCACCGGCCCATACCTCCCGGTCCGTGGCCCATACCTCCCGGTGTATTTTCATTGATCGAAAAAGCGCATGATAAAGTTATCTCGAGACAAAATAGTTGATCCCAGATGCCTAATATCAGGCACACTTTACAGGCGAAAGGCAAATTCACGTACACAGAGTGAAAAACCAGGTCTATCCACTCCCCACTGGAGAAAAAATTGCCTTTTCACAAAACCGGTCCATGCCTCCCGGGTCCCCCTACATATAAGCTATGAGATTTCCGCTGATCTCTGCGCTCTCCTGAACATAATTTAGAAACAATCAGGTCTCCTGCTTGCATTTTATCGGCTGACGGCAGCGATGGTGCGCCCTCCGCAGACCGCAGGGCAGACAGTGACATTGATGCTCATGCAGATCTCTGGATGTAAATAACGAATTGCCACGGATTCTCCACAGACGGAGACATGGAGTCGACGGCCGGCCAGCGCCAGGTGCCGGAGGAGCTGCTCACGGCCGTGCTAAACCGACGCTACAGCGTGCCGGTGGCGGTCACCAGTCGACACCCCAAGCCGAGTGAGGACCATGGGCTTAGTGAGGACCAGAGACCGACTGGGGACCACAAGCTAGCCGAGGACCAGGGGCAGGACCACGGGCCGAGTGAGGACCACCACAGACCGACAGAGGACCACAGTGAGGACCACATTGAGGACCACAGTGAGGACCACGGACCGACCCAGGACCGCCGGCCGAGCGGGGACCAGGGTCTGGCGGCCCGTCCGCGGCTGGCCGTGCTCGGCGCCGGTGACTACGGCAGGGCCTTCGCCACCAGGGCGGTCCGCAGTGGTTACCAGGTGGCGCTGGGGTCGCGGAACCCCAACAAAAAGTAAGGCCGAGGCGGGGGTAGGCTCTCAAATGATTATTGGTAGGACATTTACAAACAGAGTAGCTTTCTTGTGCCTGCTCACGTAAAAGCACGAGCATAAACGTTGGATGCTTTCTTTGCTAGAGAGGGTGGTACCGTTAATCGTATAAACTGGGCACGTTAGAAACGAAAGCACTAAAATGCCAACGAGTTAAAAATCCCGACTACGTGCTACGGTCCGCTTGTCAGATAACACCGTTCTGATGCAGTCTGTAATCCTAAAGCCCAGCTTTTTTGTCCAGCCGCAGTCTATATGACCCCAGTCTGTCTCTCCCAGCGGCAGTCAGTATGACCCCAGTCTGTCTCTCCCAGCGGCAGTCAGTATGACCCCAGTCTGCCCCTTTCAGTCGCAGTCTGACGCAGCGTACCGGCGCCGTAGTCTGCTCGGTGGAGGAGGCCGTCAGGACCAGTGACCTGGCTGTCATCTGTGTGCCGTTCGCCTTCTACAACCAGCTGCCGGTGTCGACGCTCTCCGGGAAGGTGGTGGTCGACATCAGCAACAGCACGCCGAAGAAACTGGCACAAGGGTGAGTGGTGGACGCTTGTTGGGGAGATAGATGTGATATTTGACGGCGATTTATGAAACTGAGCAGCCAATTTTTTCTTAAAGAACATCAGCCATACGTATGAACGTCGTAGCGTAAATACACTTATATAAATGAACGGCGTCATTGCTTTCAGGGGGCCATCGAATGCTGAGGACCTCCAGAACATGATTCCTAAATCGCAAGTTGTGAAAGGCTTCAACGTCATATCGGCATACGCGTTGGAGAACAATCTACAGGGTGGAAAGAAGGTAAATTATGAAAAGCCATTTAAAGGAAAAACGTTTAAACTGACTCAGGTACCTTGCGTGTCTCTTCAAAATCATTCATTCTATTGATTGGATTTTAATAAACGTAAGTGCACAATTCAGCGTTATCGTGAACAATAAACTTATTGCGGTTCACTTGCGAATCTTAAGAGTTGATCTGTTATATATGCCGATGCAAGTCATTCCTTTTTTATTACACACAATTCACAAACCGCAAGACACAGAGATTCTTGCCCTAATCACGCACCTTGCACTGAAGCGTGATGTTATCACGTGCAGGTGTTCATTGCCGGCGACTTTGCCGAGTCGAAGGCGGTCGTGGCCACGCTCATCACCGACATGGGGTTCACGGCTGCCGACATGGGTGGGCTCGTGGCCGCCAGGTAAGTGACGTTCGTAATATGGACACTGGACGGTGTGCATTGGTGGGAACATCACTCTTGTTGCTTTCGTACTTATCGACATTTCCTTCCGTCTAAGAGTTTGGAATGACAGTGAAATTCTTTTTTTTTCAAAGTGTATTTTTAGCACTTGGAATGACGTCTTCCCTTCATAATCACCTTCAATAGCATTACGTAATAAGTGAATGTAGGTAGCTTACATAGAGCAGCATCCATATGCTATCAGGAGCATTGACCAGGCCCGAGCAAACGGGCTTGGTCAATGGTCTCAATTTATCTCGCTCCTTTTTTAACTCATCTGTCACTCTCGTCTCTCACATGTCACTTGATTGCATCACTGTTTACAGAAAAATCGAGAAAATACCTCTCCAGTTATTCCCTTCGTGGAAGACAGCTATCATCGTCACTGCTTTGATATTTATTTTCTTCTGGATTTACTCCTTGTTCAAGTAAGGGCAATAATTGCGATTATTCAACAATTTTGAAAAAAGGACCTAAATATTGAAGATGCGTAAAGAAGCTTGCGATACCTTCACTGCTTGACAATCTACAATGCAATGAAAATATTCACTGAATTTAATTTGGTTCGTAAAATGTGTCTAATTTAAACGCATGTTTTAACACTGTCGGATACGCTGGACGCCGATTTGTGTCAAAATGCGACAAATGCCTTCGAAATCACTTTCAAATGCCGTCTGTGTTTTAGTAGAGCTTTGAGTTTGAGGCCGGTCTTCTGCACAGATATCAGATATGCACCTCAATAGAGTCAGCGCGGCCCTGGGAAGCTGAGGACTTCACCAGCGTCTTGATGGTTAACTTCAACAAGGCACTGGCGATGTCGGCCATCACCATCCTGGCCGCGACCTACCTACCCGGTCAGTATTGGTTCAGCCTATTGCTGCCTGTTCATTGTTCAGTCTGTCCGATCTTCTGTTCACCTGACCTGTGACCATGTAAGGTGCGCTATTCATGTCTTAGAATATCGATCGATTTAATTGTATACCGCCGTTCGAATGCCGATCTTGAATCAGTACTTTTACGGCTATTGACAGGCATTTTGGCGGCCTACCTGCAGCTTAAACGAGGCACAAAGTACCGTCGGTTTCCACGCTGGCTGCACCGATGGCTCGTCATTCGCAAACAGCTGGGACTGGCCGCTCTAATGCTAGCCATGATCCATGTGAGTTGATGAAAGAGTGATAACGGAGCATAACAGTAATAAATAACATAATGGTAAGGTTTTCATATGTATTACGAAGATACAAAAAGAAACTCCTAGCTTGTTAAAAACGCTCTAGTTCCCAACCATGAACCAGCTCATAATTCACTCTGGCCCCTTTTGTTGGGGGCAAACATTTCAATTCGCTGCAGTGCATGGTCCCGAATAGAAACCGTAACAAAATATATAAAACGGTCACGTTACTTCGTAACCTGACCTACAGACAAACCCACTAAGCCATCAGATGACGTCAACTCCAACATCAGTCGTCATACTCGCGTGGAGAGACTTTAATCAAGGCCTCTTGCCAGGGAGTGATCATAATGAACATCTATCAATACCAGCGGATGATCTCTATCATCATTCCGTTACCAGGGAGTGATATCGATCACGATGTCGTCACCGTTCTACCTGGCCAAGGCGTACGACCGTCCGGCGATCCTTCAGGCGCGAGTGGTGGGACTCAACACCAGTCAGCCTGTGCCCGTGTTCAACCGGCTGCGCCAGGGCCGCGCCGAGCTGGGACTCAGCGTCGGTAAGGTCACCCGAGATTACTTAGACCACCAGGACCTGGATGGGATTCAGTGCTGGCGATGAAACTATGGTGATTGAAGGAGTCGGATTCGTCGATGTTTTGAACTCGTCCCGTATAGATAATCACTTGTAACATTCTATTGTTCCTTGGTACACTAAGGTGCTAAATGTGACGTTTTAAGTATCGTCTGAATAATTTGGAGCGTGTCGGAGGGAGACCTCGGCGTGGTCCTGCTGACGCCGTCTGTCCCGGGCAGGCGCCACGTCCATCTGCCTTCTGACGGTGATCGGCATCACGTCCCTGCCGAGTGTCGGCGGCGCACTCAGCTGGAGAGAGTTCCAATTCGTCCAGTCCGGTCTGGGCTGGGCGGCTCTGCTGGCCGCCGTGCTGCACAACGCTCTGCTCGGCTGGGACTTTATGGTGCGCAACTACTCGTGCAGCATGCCGTCCGCCCAGCAGGTCAGCATCGTCAGGAGATCGGCGACTTGGAGTGGTAGCTTCATGGAGAGGACGGCCTGACGTCAGAGTTCCTCATGTAGATGGCTGGGGGGGTTGGTGGGAGGTTTGATTTTGTCACTGTGTTAGCCATGACGCAGTCCAACCACCAATTTAAGTAATACCCCGCGTCAGCCGACTTTTGCACCAGAATAGATTCAAACGGAAACCAATAGCTGCGACAAAAATCTAAACAGGTTAAATTGCGCTCACCACCAATGTCTGGAATTTCACAAGGATGTCATGTCTGGTCTCTGGATGTGTATTTCTTTTTTTGTGACATTTTTTCCACTTTGCGCAGGTGGGAATCTATCTGCCGGCGATCACTGTGCTGCTGAAGATGCCTCTTCTGATTCCATTCGTCTCCAATCATCTGGCAGCCATTCGAGCGGGCTACGAGAGAGCTGGCAGCTCTCAATAGAATCAGATTAGACCGACGGATAGCGGCGGTAGTCGAGCTCTGACACAGAAGATGAAAAAATGTACAATATTCCGCCTGTGCGCTGTCAGCGGGATTGGCAACCGCGCGACTTGAGACGCTGAGATTGATAAGATGTCCCAGCGGGAACAGCGGGAGCTCGAACGGCATGAACGGAATTTTTATTGAATACATTACTATTACTATAGCTACTGGGAACAGGGGGACAGAGCTAACATCCCAGCTGTGCCCATACGTTCGATTATGCGTTTTGCGATTGTGATGCTTAGGATTGTGAGCTCTAACAATTGAAACGCATTATAGTGCTAAGTAAGAAATTACCTACCGTTCTTGCCGACTGTCGACCGACGGTCCCTTGAATTCTACCGGTGGTTAAGTCCGAGCTTATCAGTATTTAATCCACAGGGACCTGTAAGACGTAAGTGGAATTATTAATTTGCTGTTTATTTATTGAGCCGGAAGTGTATGTCGTATTTGATAGTTGTTACCTGTCATTGAGCATTGCAAAACTATTGCATTATTCTTGCCGTTCCTGGTAGGTATACTATGCAAATAATAGTAGATAGTACTTAGTAGACACTTGCACCTAAAGCTGATGCACAATGTTTTATGCCAATAAATAAGTGGTATTTATCGTGACGTGGGATGACATATTTTGTTTCTGCGTGATCTTGTGCTCGTACCATGTCACCAATAATATTATGAACTGAACGTTATCGGCGAAATACACATAGAAATAAAGTGTCAATGTCATAAGTGCCTCATATTTTTTTTTTTATTCAGGCCTCCCTCCAACGGGCACTTGTGGCCCAATTACAGGAGGGCTCCTCCTCCTCCTGGCCCTTGTTCCCCCACCCCCCAGGCTACGGCTGAAGTGGGAGCCTACCCCACACCTGGTGACACAGCCGGGGACGACGCCCGCGGAACGGGCGGAACCGGGAATCGAACCCGAAACCCGGCACCGCCCGCACCGCGGGTCGACGCCTTAACCGACTGCGCCACCAGGGCCGCAATATTCTAGCAAAGTGCCGTCGAACCGATTCTGCCTTTTCTTCGCCTGCGTACTTAGCTACTGTGACCGTAATTAAGGGGCATTTGAGTGTGCGGAAGCTCCTATAGGTACTATACACGGCCTTGCTCTTATATGCGGCCTTGCTATAGGCATGTAGTTCGGTTCAGGATGCACATAAAAATACAATAACAGTCTAGCCTAGGATACTGATAATTTAATCCCGTCTACTGACTTGGTGACATGATCCGAACGGGAAATGGGAGGAGAGGGAGGCTCGGCTCACTATCGCCCTTTCTCGCCTCCTGTGCCCCTGAAGTTAACCCGCGCCGTGCTGGTGGCCTAAACTTTCCGCCGAGTGCTGGGGGGGGGGGGGCGTTTTAACGCCCCCCCGTCTAACTCGGCTCCTGGGCCACGTAGCGACACGCGGTAAGCGGCAATCGAAAGAGCGTCGAAAATAAGGACGAAAACACTTCGGTCATTTTTTGGGTCAGGTCAAAGGTCAGGTCACCAGAGGTCACCAAAGGTAAAATGTTGACTATTTCAACATTTTGGAAACTGCCAACGGCTATCTCGGGAACCGATAGAGCTACAGCGCCGCGGAAAAGCGCATTCGATAGCCCTTTTACAGACCTTTCTGAGTATTGTTCTCAGATTTGACCTCAGGTCAACGGTTTAGGCTCCAGAGGGCAAAAACTCCAAAAATAGCCGTTTTTACGAAAAACGTTTTTTCGTCAATAACTTTTGACTCATAAGCGCCATGACATTACTTTTGCCAGCATCGTGTTCCTCTCGTTGAGACGCGTCGAATGAACTATTTGTTGACCTTGAAAGGTCATTTTGAAAATTTGACCTCAGGTCAAGGTCATGACCTGACCGAAAAGGGTCATGTTGCATATCAGTCGATCCGTATCGTCGAGCTGAACACATCTGACGTGTTTTCACCGCTCTAGCACGTCTCTATCAAAAGTTATAGCCAAAAAACTGCTGGCGACCGTTCATGACCTGAGATGACCTCAGGGGCACACAGAGGGGTCACAGGTGCATTTTTCCTATTCAGTGTGTCATGTTTACCTATGAACCGATGTTTGAGAGCGTTTTGAACGATATTCGTCCAAAAGAGGCGCATTTCAATTTTCTCCCATTGACTTATAATGGAGAGGTCGCAAAATTGACCTGACCTTAGGTCACAGATATCAAAAATCCGAGATATACATTTTATACATACTGTTACTCATATCAATCGCTGAAAGTTTCAAAGTGATCGTTCAGTCGGTGTAGCTATAGCGAGCCTTTGAACTTTTTCTGAGGTAAGGTCACTTGACGTGACCTGGTGACCTGACCTTGAACGGCCTAGGTCTGAAATTTTCACAACATGTGCGGAAATGATGTAGGAACACGTGTACCAAAAACGGCGGCGCTGCGCGCCGCCGTTTTTGAGATATTCGCGAAAAACCTGAGGGGGGGCGTAAAAACGCCCCCCCCCCCAGCACGGCGCGGGTTAAGGCATGAATATTGAACTGAATAAAGAAATGATAACAGCTTTTTTGCCTTGATATCTATCCAAAACAATTTGAACAATCGTCGCGAACCGAGATTACCGTTCAGTGCTCTCTGCGCCCGCGACAGGTCCCGGTATCATCGCCGCACGTGGCTCGGTCCCACGGGCCCCACGCAACTGACACCACCTGGTGCGCCAGCACGCAGACGAGCACAATGTGCGAGTGCGTTAGATAAACCATCGGCGCGATTGATAAGATTTGTTGAAACACGACAACATAACCACCACATGCTAGGCATTGTGTGCATTTTCACTTGTGAACGTAGCAAGTGCAGCGGATATATTCGAGTTAGAATTAGTGGCCGTGCGTTGGTTGACACTTTTACATATTACATCACATTTAAAACTTTATATTTTATGGCACCTCCATATTATCTTCAGCACCGAGCACGAGGAAGGAAGTTCTTGCACCACTCCTTCAGACACTTGTAGGTCATGAAGGCCTTATCTGAGTTGGAGCCGGCCGTGTAGGCGAGCCAGGAGCGGAATTCGCAGCCGGTGCCGAACGAAAGGAACACGTCCAGAATGTCTCTGGCCTGGAACCACGCACGCTCGGCTGTGAAATATTGACAGCAGCTGAGCAAGACAGACAAGCTACGATTACTTCCAGCCTTGAGTTGGGACACACCAACCATTTTTTTAGCTTTTAGTGGTGATAATTAAAGTTTTTGGAGACCGGAGATATTGGAAGGGCAGCCTTACTTAGAAAGATGCAAACACCAATAAAAACATTCAGCGTGACCATTTTAGTTCTGGTCATAGCATGCAACCTTGCTCAGGGTCAAATTTTCACAACTACAAAAGATAATGGGATATGGTCGTAATAGCCGTTTTCACGACGGGCTATCCGGCGAGTGCACCTAATTTGACCAAATCTGCACCTAATATCTTTTACTGCAAATATCTTTATTTTATGAATTTATTTCAGTGTTTTAATCGATGATACTCTCTGACAATATGGCAAAGCAGGCATATAAGCAATTAGTGCAACCCTAGCTGATAGCTACTTAGAGATACACTGAACCTAATTTGACCAAATCTGCACCTAATCTGCACCAAATGTGCACCAAATGTGTACCAGATGGCCGTCGTGAAAACGGCTATTATGTTACTCACCTCAAAACTGACACACAACCCATGATTACACCCACCTTGCAGAGTCCTGCTTTGCGCAGACGGCATCCGTAGACCTTTCCGATGCCAGGAACGTCTTCAATTGTCTTGCCGCCAATTGGCGTGTTGATAAAATCCACGCATTTTTGTGTTAGACACTCACTGACACTGTCTTCCATTTTGAAAACAAATTAGGCTGGCCTTAGATAATCATAAAGATGGATAACAAAGTTTTGAATTAGATTAATAACAACATACTACAACCCTACGAATAAGTAAACTTGTCTGTAATACTCATAATTTGTCATGCAACAAAAATGCCCCATACAGAGATGTTACTCCAAAAGCGCTTCCCGGGCCCTGTCATGCTGCCAGGCATTTGATTACTTTAGATGAGGCTAAATACCCCGTGCAAAAGAATGCTAGAAACCTCTAATGAAATGTGACAGCTCACTCATTTAAATGACGTGAAGGTTTTACAAGTTAAGAGAATAACGACTTTACCTCAGACCTCGGAAGCAGTTCGAATTCGATTCTGAGTTTGAAAGATGTGGTGACATGCCTTGCTGGCACAATTATTTACCCTTTGCCGTACATTGCGAAAGGATCTGGATGCATTTTTGTTAAATTGCTTCGCCAAAAGTGGACGCCGAGCTGCGATTTCATTTGAACATAACCGTGCTCGTCATACTCAGCCGCAGCGCATACCTATTTACAAATAGATCGGTTAGCGTAGCCACCGTGCCCTCCACCAGTGTGCCACCTTTGTCTCGAGTCCTTAGGCATAATCATAGTGTAATAAATAACTAAATAAATGTAATAATAAATGCATGTTATCTATTACACTATGGTGTAACTCTAAATACTTAGTCCTCCACTTGAAATGTTTGCCCCTTTATGTGACTGCGGATAGTGGGATGGCCTGATAGCAGATAGTTTCACAGGCGCGCTCGGGCTCTGTGTGCTTGGTCCGTGCCCCCCGGTAAAGGTACAGGTGCGTCCGTATGTCAATACGGACACGGCCGAGGGAGGGGCGGCGCAGAGAAGGCGGTGCGGTGCGGTGGCCAGGAGGCTGCGGTTAGTCTGCCCGCTGAGACCTGTAGCGGCACGGCACGGTCACCGCAGCACCCTGACGGCCGCCGGGAGGTAAGCGTTCTCTCGAGTGGTTTTCGGACAATGTGTGGTCGGATCTCTTGATGTTGGTACTTCAGAATAAGCTGAACTTGAAATCCATGTTTGTACAGACAAATGGACATCAGATAGGATGAAGACGTAATAGGTATATTGTCCTGTTTACCTTCGAGAGTGAATGGGGTAATACACACATTGAGACACCCAAAGCAGGGGAAGGGCAGGCTGCCGACAGGTTTTGTCAAAAATACGTTTACCGTTGGGGATCTCGACCTTAAAAACAAGCATACCTATACCTACATTATGCATATACCAGCTACAATGTGGAAATATTTAACCCTTTTTTGAAAACATTGACAACAATGAGAAAACATTTGAAAACATTGGGACTTGCCAATTGTATTCATAAACTTCACACTACTTCTCAATTCAATGCATTCATTTTTTTACCAACTTCTCAATGATTCATTGAAACTCCGAGTTGGTGAACAATGAAAGCAATACAGGAGTATTTAAGGTAAGTACGTTATGTTGAAATGCCATGAGTCCGGAATGGTCCGGAATGGACACAAATTGATAAATAATGGTGACAAACTCTAGTTGATGCTCCGTCCTTAACCCGCGACCTGGTGGGGGGGGGGGCTATTTTTTGCCCCCCCCCTCCAGACTTTTCGATATATCTCCAGAACCACTGCGCCGATCGTCACCAAACTTTCAGTACCCTCCAAGACATCAATTTTACACATTGTGGCCAAAAATTTTTCCAAAGGCTATGATAGGTTGGCCGGAAATGACGTCAGAGTGACGTCATGTTCTGCCGTTTTCGACCCAAAAAAGGGTTTCGCGGGAAGAGCTGTCAGGCCTATAGCTTTACAAATACAGAAAAATGATACAGACATAAAAGCTGTAAAATGGACAGGGCTACAAAACTGCTATCTCGGATTTTTGAAATTATTGGATTTTGACCCCAAAAAATCAAAAAATAGATTTTTTGAATATAATAGCCGAAAAATTAAAATAGTTTTTTGAATTTCGAAAAAACCGGAATATATGTGATAGTCCCTACCGCTTTCTATCTACATACCAAATTTGAGATCTGTACCTCTTTTTTTGGCCAAGTTATAGCGAAAAAACTGTTCAAAATTGATGACGTCAAATTTTCAAACTCAATTTTCAGCAATTCTAGACCTCGTAGCGCAAAACAAAGACCGCCATTAGACTCCCCGTGACGAGCTGCATCGAATCAACACCCATGTTATGCAAAAATATCAACTTTGAAATTTGACCTTTTTTGACCCGACCTTGACCTGACCTCCACCAGAAAGTGACCTAAACCGTACCTGATGGTCTTATAACCAACACCATTGAGTTGGAAATGAAAAACTGGCCATAAAACATGCATCGCACAACCTTAGTAAAGTTGGGTTCATGTGGTGACTCTTGGTGACCTTTGGTGACCTGACCTGTGACCTGACCTGGTATGACCAGTGACCTCTAACAGCAACATATCTACTAGGCAACTGACGCCCTATCGCTGATTCTCGACAAAATGCGTTTTCCTCGGTGTTATAGCGCATTCCCTAGAAGACCCGTGAACGGTGAAATATTTCATCTTTGACCTGACCTGTGACGTTATCGGTGACCCCGAGGTCAATAAAATTTGGTTTCCCTCGACAAATTTGACAGCCCTTTCGAACGCCGTTTCAATTTTGCGGATCCGTCCAGTAGTTTCGGAGATACGAGGGGGGGGGGGGGGGGGCAAAAAATAGCCCCCCCCCACCAGGTCGCGTTATAAACAGACCCCACCAGGGCGCGGGTTAATCCAGGCGTTCGCTCAGCAGCGGTACCCATGGGATTGGGATCCCTGTTCGGCCGGCGCGGTACCAGCCCTGCGAGGCTCGCAGCGCTGGCTGTGCTGGTGGCAGCCTCCTTCCTCGGGCTGCTGCAGCTCGTCCGACAATCAGAGATGATACAGCGCCGGTCAAACCCGGTCCTAGACCCCACCGATCTACCAGGTGAGCAGGGGAGCCGACACGAGTGTCGCAACGGTCATGACCGTAGCGTTCATGTGTATCTGTATTGTCAGGGCAGTGATGTAGGTATTTCATTGAAACAATGCATTGCCATATGATGAATAATTATTCCGCGCAACGAGCTCAACTTTTTCTCCGCTCAACCACTTTTGCTACCGGTAGGTAGCAATCAGCCATTATTTCATCTCAAGAAAAACCTTTTGCCAGCTCTGCCATTACGAGACGTTATTGGCAATGTTCTCGTCACGTCATTTGATTGCGTTGTTGATTCACCATGATCAAATTATGACTTGGAGCAAATGTCATTCCACCAAAAGTGCCGCGCTGCTCGTCTCCATTTTTTTTTTGCGACCGACGCGACGGACATCGTCAAGGAGAGAGCGCACCTCCCCTCCCCCACACCCACGCCTGATCGCTTGGTAATCTGATCTGTTCCCTACTGTCCCGGCCAGCGGCGACGGAGGGGTTCCACCCTCAGCGTGTGCTGCTTCTCGCCTATATGAGATCGGGCTCCAGTTTCACGGCCGAACTGCTCACACTGCACCCGGACTTCAACTATCTGTTCGAGCCGCTCTGGAGGTTCAATGACCGGGTGAGCTCGCGGTCAAGCAAACAGTGATATGTGGATGATGACTTAAAAGCCATCTCAACATATCAAATTAAAATAACCCGGCAGGTAATCATTTGAGTGAATGCAAGGAATTAGAGTTGCAAAGTTTCCCCCAAAGGCTGCTACCGGCACCGCCCCGCCCCACAAATTTTTTTGGGGATACCGGCATGCTACCACACCCAAAGCAAAAACACCACCAAATTACCGGCATACTAAAAACCTGCATTGTTGATTCCAGTTTACCCCTACAAGAGATGCCACATTTTCCTCTTAGTGTCCAAAGTTTGAATCATATGCTAATAATTTTTTGTGTGCAAAACAAAAAATACCGGCATGCTACCGGCAAGACATGCCAGATACCACAAAAAAACCTGCGGTAGTGAAAAATTACCGGCATGCCGGTAATGCGGTAGGGAAACTTTGCAACTCTACAAGGAATCCCTGCTTTACTCCAAGCCAAAGTTATGCGAATATTATTTACAAGTGTTATGAATACTGGCGGTATCATAAATCCTCTATTGTACTGTTGTAAGCACTGAGATCATGTGAAGGGACCGCCCTGACCGCACGGCCAGTGGGGATGAATGGAGACAGGCGTGCGTGACGGGAACATTCGTGATAGCATTATTACCACTGTGGCCTGCCCTGTCTGATCATAATGATTAGATGTTGCCTGTAATCAACGATATCTCCCGAAGCCGTAATAGATCCTTTTTGTGGGCAGCTTTGACCAAAATCGTCGTAGAACAGCCCACATCTCTGAGGGTTTATGTACCTAACCAACAGGCATCGGTAAAATCCTTTTTGAAAGGATTGCATTCCCAATCCACATTCCTAGGGCCGAAGTGGATTGCATTCCTACCCGCAATCCCCTTTTTTCACTTGGATTGTGATCAAATCCGCAATCCTTTTTTGCAATCCTGTTGTATTATCATGTGCACTAGTGGATCTGGGGGAGGGAGGGGGGCATAGGGCCGTGCCTCCATCCCCAAATCACCCACTTCTAGTACCTAGTCTTGCGAGTAATTCCTATCTAAGGCACAGGTATTTTATGGGAAATATTTTTTGCTTCAAACACCCCCACATTTAAACCTCTACCCAACCAGTGTTTTATATTTTTAAAACTCGCCCTCAAATACGTAATTTTGCCCTTCCTATGTAATTCATCAGCGTATATTATTTTGAGCGTTTAAATTAAAAGCATTTAAATTATTTCAAGTTTCGATGTAAAGCCCTTGATAGCAAGTACATTAAGCCGATGAAGCCGATCTCATATTTTTCAATCGCAACAAACCATTTCAAAGCACTAATCAAACACAATCCGGATTAGATTGCAAAAATTGGAAGTATGATGCAATCCAATCCGCAATCAAATCCTGTTTTTAGGAATGGATTTCAGATCCAGGTGCAATCCACCAAAAAAGAATGCAATCAGGATTTTGCAATCCTGCAATCACAATCCTACCGATGCCTGCTAACCAACATAGAGGTGTCCCAGTTCTATTACTTTTTGTGAATTTGGGAAAAATTTCACAATGTTTCGGTTTTAAAAGTACCACTACATAGTACCATATACATGTACATATATACATAGTACTATATCATATACTATATGTATATGATAAAGTCCACGACAATTTGAGATTGCGCCCTTGTTTTTATTTGGCTTAACCGGGCCCCTGTCCTTTTCCGTCGATATCTCCTAAGCTGGAGATAGTGCCACCAAACTTTCAGGATCTCCGGGCATCAATTTTACACATTGTGACCAATTTTTTTTTTTTCCCAGAGGCTATGATAGCTTGGCCACAAATGACGTCAGATGAAATGACGTAATGTTCTGCCATTTTCGACCGAAAAAAGACCTTCGCGAGAAGAGCTGTCAGGCCTACAGCTTTGAAGATACAGAAAAATGATCAAATTTATAAAAGGTGTAGAATTGACAGGGCTACAAAACTGCTATCTCCGATTTATGAAATTTTTGGGTTTTGACCCCCAAAAATCAAAAATGCAATTTTTTGGATATATTAGCCAAAAAATCCAAAAAGCTTTTTAAGTTTCGAAAAAACGAAATATATGTAATAGTACCTACCGTCTTCTATCTACATACCAAATTTCAAATCGATATCTCGTTTTTTGGCCAAGTTATAGCGAAAAAAACTGTTCAAAAATGATGATGTTAATATTTCAAACTCAATTTTTGGCAATTCTAGACCACGTAGGGCAAAACAAAGACCACCATTAGACTCCCTGTGACGAGCTGCATCAAATGGATACCCATTTTTATGCAAAAATATCAAGTTTGAAATTTGACCTAATTTGACCTGACCTTGACCTGACCTTTACCAAAACGTGACCTAAGCTGGCCCCAAAGGCTGCCTGACCCACATAATAGCATTTGTCCTGTAAAATGGACCATAAAACATGTATCACACGACACTTTCATATTGTGACCCCCAGTGACGTGTCAGTGACCTCAGATAGCGAAGTATTTGCTTGACGAACAATGTACCATCGATGGTTTTCAATACCTTACCAATTTACTGGATTTTATAACACATTTCTTGAAATGCCTGTGAACGGTGAAAATCTGACCTTTGACCTGACCTGTGACGTCATCGGTTTGACCTAGGTCAATGAAATTTGGTCACAAGGTAGTTCCACGGTGGGGCTATCGAACGCCGTTTGAATTTTGAAAATCGGCCGGTAAATTTCCGAGATCTTAGGGGGGCGAAACACCCCCCCCCCTACGGGTGGTAGGACTAGGGTCCGCCGGTAGCCCTACGGGGCGCGGGTTAAATAATGAAAAAGATTGTACCTGTCTTGTGTTATTTTTTCTTATATGCTGAGCGCTGCTGCTCGAAGCTTGCAAAAAGGTTTCGGAGACTCACGACAGGTTAATGACCGTCTACCTGACGGCTTTTGAAGGAAGTACTCAGTCACACCTTCCAGAGGGCGGGGATATGACAGACAATGTCGCAGTCCACTGCCCTCACTGAGGCGTTTGACACCAACCCTCACCTGCCGTCAGCAACTGGTGCCCGGCTACTCCTCTGGCGAGATGGACGAGTCTCGCGCCAGCTACCTGTCCGCACTGTACGACTGTGACCCACTCATGACCGTGGAGGCCCTCAAAGACGGCTTCGTGGACAGAGTGCGCTTCTTGGTAGCCGAATGTCGGCAACGTCACCTGCTGGCTAAGGTCATCCGCGCGAGCGGCGGGACTCTCAGACGCCTGCTGGAGAAACAGCCGAGACTGAAGGTGAGATAAGTCGAGACTGGAGGTGATGTCAGTCAAGGCTGGAGGCTAGTCTAAGGACTAAATGCGAGGTCCTCTGACTTCCAGACTAGAAGTGAGCTCATCTGAAGCAGAGATGAGTTAACCCGCGCCCGGCTGGGGGTCCTGGATTTCCACGCCCTGCTGGGGGGGGGGGTGTTTGAACACCCCCCCCTTCTAACTCGGCTCCTGGGCCACGTAGCGATACGCGGAAGGCGGCGTTCGAAAGAGCGTCAAAAATAATGAGGAAATCACTTCGGTCAATTTTTTGGTCAGGTCAAAGGTCAGGTCACCAGAGGTCATTGAAGGCAAATTTTCGCCGATTTCCAGGTCGAATGTCGAAAATTTCCAAGAAGCCAACGCATAACTCGGGAACCAATAGAGCTACAGCGCCGCGGAAAAGCGCATTCGATAGCCCTATTAACGCCCTTTCTGAGTAATTCTCTCAGATTTGACCTAACGTCAACGGTTTTGCCTGCAGGGGGCAAAAACTGCAAAAATAGCCGATTTTTTTCGGAAACAGTTTTTCTGCAATAACTTTTGACCCAAGCATTGTACGAGCTTACTTTTACCGGCATCGTGTTCCTCTCGTCGAGACGCATCGAACGAACTATAATTTGACCTTGAAAGGTCAACTTGAAAATTTGACCTCAGGTCAAGGTCATGACCTGACCGGAAAGGGTCATGTTGCATATCAGTCGATCCGTATCGTCGAGCTGAACACATCTAAGGCGTTTTCATCGCTCTAGCATGCCTCTATCAAAAGTTATTTGCGAAAAACTGTTAGATACCATTCGTGACCTAAGATGACCTCAGGGCATAAACAGGGGTCACAGACACCATTTTCATGTTCAGTGTGTCTAAACCACTTGTAATTCAGTGTTTGGGAGTGTTTATAATGTCTTTCGTCCAAAACAGGCGCATTTCAATTTTCTCCCATTGACTTATAATGGTGAGGTCGCAAAATTGACCTGATCTTAGGTCATCGATATCAAAATTCTGAGATATACATTTTGTACATGCTAATGCTCTTAGCAATCGCTGAAAGTTTCAAAGCGATCGGTCACTCGGTGTAGCTATGACAGACATTGAAACTTTTTATGAGGTGAGGTCACTTCGAGTGACCTGGTGACCTGACCTTGAATGACCTTGGTCTGAAATTTTCACAACATGTGTAGAATTGATGTATGATAAGGTGTACCAAAAACGGCGGCGCTCCGCGCCGCCGTTTTTGAGATATTTGCGAAAAACCACAGGGGGGGTGTTCAAACACCCCCCCCCCCAGCAGGGCGCGGGTTAAGCCATAGCCGAGAGCAGACGAGATGCGCCAGCGTGCTCCAAGGACATTCAGCCGAGACTGAAGTTGATGTCTCTTTTGTTCTGAGGACCAAAGAAGACGCGCTCGAGAGGAGTCACTGAGTTCTGAGAGCCAAAGGCAGTGCGCCGAGCGAGATAAATGTCCCATTGTGGAGATAGTGGTGGAGGAGATACTTGACGAAGGAATCATTTTTTCTTGAACTACTCGTGAAACCTACTCAAATTACTCGAGTTACTCGAATTATTCACTCCGTATCTAAACCAATCTTGTTGCTAAAACAACTATGTAGGCACTTATGTAATTACAGACCCACTTAGTCTATTGTCCTATTGGTCATGTTATACTTGTCCGTAATGCCATTTTTTGTATATATAGGTACAGTTTAAAACTCTGGTGAATGTAATATTTGTATTGAAAATCAAGCTGAAAATAATCGAGATTTGTCCACAGACATATGTATCGTCCCATTTTTTTTCTGACCTCTGTGTAGTTTTTTTTTTGTATGTATATCTACGACATGACGGCCACCGTATTACACCGCTTTGTCAGGTGATACACCTGGTCCGTGACCCGCGGGCTACCGTATCGTCCCGTTCGGAGGTGGGCGCCAAGGACAGTGCTGCTCTCTACTGTGCGGAGATCCGACAGCACCTCAACGTGACCGGCCCGCTGGCGGCCAGCGACCCGCGCAGGTGGGGAGCCGAATAGGTCAGGTACAGCCACCGAATCGTGCCATGGTTTATATAAAACTGAACAAGTACTGCTCCCAATTTTGAAAGTTTGACATGCGATTCGTTTCCAGCTAACCTAGGAGAGCTCTTACCGGCAAATCGCACGTGTCTGAAACTGAACAACTGCTTCTGTAGCAGGTTGCGAGAATCATAGCGGGAAAGAGATCGGACAGACATTGGTCCGGCCCGTGTTGGGTTGACACGTGACCGGTCGGGCCACTCGCGTTGCAGCGCCCCTGGCGGCCGAGTGCCTGCAACATTGGCTTCCACAAATCTCTGCCTAATTTCAGGTACGCGTTGGTGCGATACGAAGACCTGGCTGACCGCAGCACACAGCGGTCGAAGCTGAGGCGGCTGTACCATTTCATGGACCTTCCAATGCCCGAGGATGCTTTGGATCAATACATAGCAAGTCACTATCAGCCCATCGATAAGAGCCGATTGAGGCGACGGCCGCAACGCAAGGCAAAGAAGGATAACTTTGATACTAAAAAGCGATCAGACTTCAATCCAAATTCATGGAAAGATAAACTATCAGATGAAAGGCTTCGAGAAATCGAATTTGAGTGCGGTGATGTAATGAAAAGGTTTGGGTACGAATTCACTCAGCCTACTTGAACATCCTCGCTACACAGGAGCAGGTATGTGACCTGTGTGCTGGTGGCCGTTTAGATCCCTTGCGGTGTATTCACTACTCAGGTCGAAACCCTGTCATGTTATACTGTTGGGTGAATGGTGTTGATCGCTTGGACTAGGAAGGATGGCGGCTGTCCACTGTCCAGTGTGTGCTAAGTAGCCAGTGGGTATCGTTTAAAGTTACCCGTTGTAACACTCACCTAATTACATTTAAGTTTTCCATCATCTCCAAGTTTCCAAAGTCTCCATCATGTGTAAGGTTTTACATTTACAACGTCTTTGGCACTACTGTGTCATATGTCTTATGACGTCGGTATGGATACAGGTGATCGTGCAATACATGTTTGTACTCGTAAGCTCTTTAGAGATCTCTCCTGCATGTGAGCATTCAAAAAGCGATGATGTTGTGGCAGCGGTGCAATAAACCGCAAGTGCAGGTTTCTGCACCTCTCCAGCACTTAACATTTCTGACGTTGTTCTTGTCCGCGGTCGTATCATCCAATCTTCCAATGTATGATAACGAATGATAGTGGTGGTGATTGGTGATTCTATCTATGAGATGGAGAAACAGACTCTGTATGTGTTCAGTCGCACGTATGCAGTGGCGGATCCAGGGGGGGGGGGGCAAAATGGGCATTTGCCCCCCCCCCCAAACGGCATGATTTTAACATTACGCCTATGGACGATGCATGGAAAGAATCGATAAATTTTTATGGTTTGCCCCCCCCCCCAAACCTCTGAGCTGGATCCGCCTCTGCACGTATGTATTGTGTAGCATATGTTTTGTGACCAGCGCTAAATTTAAAGTTTTGATA